ACACAACATGTCTACACAACATGTCCACACAACATGTCTACACAACATGACTACACAACATTTTAAACAGTTCGTGTCTGAAAACAGTTTATCAGACACTGACACAACTCCATGTTCATCTGATCACATGATCGCTACCTGTGTGTGTGTGACATCATACTTTGTCCATCACACACACAGGTTTCCTCCTCAGGCTCGTGTGGGCGGAGCCGCCTCGTCCCTTCATCACGTCAACAAAACAAAGACAGGTGTGTGTTAACCTGTGAAACTCATCTGACGTCACACAGAACCAGCCCGGACTCTTCCGGTCTGCGCGGTGAGACAGAATCGAATCCGCTCCTGAACAGAGACTAGCCGCGTGCTAACAGCAGCATGTTTACCTTTATCAGAGCAAAACTCACCTGGAGCTGGGTTAGCATGCTAGCTGGCTACACCCACCTCCTCCCGTTACCGAAGCTACAGGTGTAACGACCCAAAACACACGTTGACAAACTCTGAGGACTGAGTATTAAACTAGTTAAAGTTTAAATAAACCGCGCTAACTAGCTGAAGTTAGCTTGTGTTATTGTGGTTGGTGCTAATGTAGGACCAGACTGAGATTCATCCGATGTACTGATGTTTTAAAGTTTTCACGGTATAGTTTATAACTTTAAAACTTTATAACAACAGTGTGAATCATCAGTGAAACGCAGCAGTCCACTAAGGAACTTTTTGTCAGGGGTACAGTATTTATCATGACACCGGCCCTGGAGGCTTTTCCGGACCACTGAAGTTAGATTCTTACTTTCCCCTCAGAAAAGTTCATATACCCGGCTTTAAGTTTGTGTAACCAGCCGTCAGAGACACCGCGCCGGTGTACGCTCCCCGGGCTCTGCGTTCCACTCACCGGCCCTGGTGGTGTCCGTCAGGTCGTGGTTAGCGGCGCTCCGGGGGAACTCCTTCAGCTTCCTGCCGCTGAGGTTCAGACACCCGGTGGCCGAGGCTTCGTCCAGTGCCCGGTCCAGTGATCGGTTCCAGGGCGCCGGCCCCACCGTCCCCAGTCCGTTGTTGTTCCCAACCAAAACATTACCGGCGCCGCCTCCCACCGTGAAGCTGAGTCCGGTGTTGTCCGCAGACCCCAACAACACCGAGGCCGCCATTACACACTCCGGCTGTTAGCTTTCCGTGCTAACGGCTAACTCTCCTCTCCCACCCTAAACACAGCGGAGCATGCGCAGAGCGGAGCGGTGCACAGAGCACGTGACCACTGTTACTACTAAAGTATTACAGTTACGGTCAACAGTAGTACTGATACTACAAACAGTACCATTCATACTATATACAGTACAACTATAAACAGTAGTACTGATACTACAAACAGTACCATTTATACTATATACAGTACAACTATAAACAGT